GGTAACAGTCAGAACAGTTGCTAGGTAACAGTCAGAACAGTTGCTAGGTAACAGTCACAACAGTTGCTAGGTAACAGTCAGAACAGTTACTAGGTAACAGTCAGAACAGTTGCTAGGTAACAGTCAGAACAGTTGCTAGGTAACAGTCAGAACAGTTGCTAGGTAACAGTCAGAACAGTTCCTAGGTAACAGTCAGAACAGTTCCTAGGTAACAGTCAGAACAGTTGCTAGGTAACAGTCAGAACAGTTGCTAGGTAACAGTCAGAACAGTTGCTAGGTAACAGTCAGAACAGTTGCTAGGTAACAGTCAGAACAGTTGCTAGGTAACAGTCAGAACAGTTGCTAGGTAACAGTCAGAACAGTTGCTAGGTAACAGTCAGAACAGTTGCTAGGTAACAGTCAGAACAGTTGCTAGGTAACAGTCAGAACAGTTGCTAGGTAACAGTCAGAACAGTTGCTAGGTAACAGTCAGAACAGTTGCTAGTTAACAGTCAGAACTCGTTATCATCTTGTAGTTGCACTTGTCTGAATATAGTGGAGGAATCTTGTAATAACCCGGGCAACAATCTTGTTACCCGGGCAACAATCTTGTTACCCAGGCAACAATCTTGTTACACAGGCAACAATCTTGTAACCCAGGCAACAATCTTGTAACCCAGGCAACAATCATGTTACCAAGTCAACGATCTTGTTATCCAGACAACGATCTTGTTACCCAGGCAACAATCTTGTAATTACCCAGGCAACAATCTTGTTACCCAGGCAACAATCATGTTACCCAGGCAACAATCTTGTTACTCAGGCAACAATCTTGTTACCCAGGCAACAATCTTGTAATAACACAGGCAACAATCTTGTTACCCAGGCAACAATCTTGTCAGCCAGGCAACAATCTTGTCACCCAGGCAACAATCTTGTTACCCAGGCAACAATCTTGTAAGTACCCAGGCAACAATCTTGTTACCCAGGCAACAATCTTGTTACCCAGGCAACAATCTTGTTACCCAGGCAGCATCGATTACTAACCTGTATATCTCACGCGTCTCATGTGACGGATAGATCCAACTTTAAGTTCACGAGACTTAAGCAAACTGGTACCTCCTTTCTAGTTAATTCGTATTAATCATTAACACTTATTTAATACACTCGCATTAATCAACTCAACCTTCAACCTTATGAAGGTGCCTGCTTCTTTTTATTGACTCTATAATAGTTGTTAATACTACATTAATGAATTATGAGTAACTTACTTTATAATAGTTGTTAATACTACAATAATGAATTATGAGTAACTCACTTTATAATAGTTGTTATTACTACAATAATGACCTATAAGTAGGGTACCTTACTCTAGACAGCTGCGTTTTCATCGACAAACCAACTTAGAAATAAATCGTTTTCAACTAACGACCTAGACAATTATCAACTATCAAGGGAGTCCCGCTGCCCCACAACCAGCGATCATTGCTGCCCAACAACCAGCAACTACAGCCATACCCTACTCACCTTTAAGTTTAATTAGGATCTGTTCCTTGACTTGCTGAAAAGTAGGGTTATCACGCGGTGATCTAGTGCAGCTTTCTAATTAAGATTACAATTATAATTAAGAGTACTTGGAGTAATGGTCGGGTCTAGAGGGTCAGACAACCTCCCACTCTCCCCGACCCCACTCATTTCCGCATAGATTTCGCCGCGGATTTCCCGGCCCGGCATCATTTCCTTGGCCACACTCGTAATCCTTAAGATTGCAATGTTTTCGTGATCACAGTAGTAACAGCATTTCTCACAATCACAGCACCTGTTATGATACTTGTTACACTTACAGCACCTGTTACGATACTTGTTACAGCAATTGTCACGGAACTTGTTCCGTAACAAGTCCACTACTGTTCAATAGTTTTACCCCAGATTCTGGCCTTGTTTACTGTTCATTAATTAATTAGTTGTTACAAATATAGAATCTGAATTAAATACTGACTGTTGTACGTCAGTAAATTTACTTTTTCTTACGTTAATTACACATTACACAAGTATAACGTTTGGCATTATCATAATTAATATTATATATCAAACAATTACAACGTTCCACTATTTTAGTAATTAATTAGAGCAATTATAAAGTTTCCCTGAACTATTTTAAATGGGCCCAATTTCTTAACCACAAATGGTTTTATCACATACCGTAAATGCACATACATTTGTATTGTACCCACTAGTTGGGTTTTGATAAAACGATCTGTTTTTGGGCCTTTTTTCAATTTTCAGTCAAATGTTTTGCTCCAAATTGTTTCAATTTCGTAATTCAGTAAGTGATCAGTAATTGATCGACAATCATTTATTGATCAGCAATTGGTCATTTATCGATCGATAATTGATAATGATAGAATCGACGCTAGATTTAACTGCAGTTGAATGAAATAACACGCTGTTGATTGTTGAACTTTTCCACTACAGGGCCACTGTTAGACGTTAGTCACACTTCTGAGTCACTTCTGTTAATAATCACATTGTATTACCCACAGCTAATTCATAGTAGTCAGTGGCTGCTACTACTTACTAGCCACGGTTATCAGCAATCATGTAGTTGTGTTACTTAAACATTTATTTAATTATGTTAGAATGTTAGACAATTTCCGCCGGCTATTCATACAAATCGCTTGTTTGTTACTGGTCTCGCAGGTCTCCCTTTGTTTGTTTGACATACCACTCATACCACTATAGTTACCACCTAATTTATTCCTATATATTGTAGACATTGTATTCCTATTCAGACAAAAATCTGTACATTTTAAACGTTGTGAAGGGCGTATCATTGATTGGAATTTGTGACCACCTTATCAACTCATGTGACGTAGAGAAGTGTTCATACTGGTTTATACCATTGTGACCACCTTATCAACTCATGTGACGTAGAAAACTGTTTGAAAAGGGAGGTTCCAAGTTTCACTACCTTTTATTTCTCTGTAGTTCCTTTTCGGAGCTTTGTCCGTTACCTTTTGTGTTTAAAACCTTGAAATATATTGTTTTATTGTTCATATTCGCGTAAACTCTTTGTAATTATAAACACAAAGAACCCTTCCCTGGCCCTGTTGTTGGGGGCCGACAACAGGGCCAGGGAAGCCGACAACAATTGTAGAGACTTGTTATTTAGTTATGTAATTGATTTGTTGGTAAACTGACTCTTCAATTACGGAGCTCAGTTTGTCTCCAGTAAAATGCTTAAATAGTTAGTTTAAATAATGAGTTTAAATAGTTAGTTTAAATAATGAGTTTAAATAGTTAGTTTAAATAATGAGTTGTGCGCCAACATGCAACGTTACGCCACTGCATTGAGACCGAACTTTTCGGTTTCGCAGTCAGATTTTTGAACGGCTAAAATTCGGTTGAAAATATAATGCACGTCAATTATTGTACCCGATATAAGGTAGTTCGCAACTGTTAACGTTACAATAAGCTCACAAGGAACAACTGTTAACGTTACAATAAGCTCACAAAGAACAACTGTTAACGTTACAATAAGCTCACAAGGAACAACTGTTAACGTTACAATAAGCTCACAAGGAACAACTGTTAACGTTACAATAAGCTCACAAGGAACAACTGTTAACGTTACAATAAGCTCACAAGGAACAACTGTTAACGTTACAAAAAGCTCACAAGGAACAACTGTTAACGTTACAATAAGCTCACAAGGAACAACTGTTAACGTTACAATAAGCTCACAAGGAACAACTGTTAACGTTACAATAAGCTCACAAGGAACAACTGTTAACGTTACAATAAGCTCACAAGGAACAACTGTTAACGTTACAATAAGCTCACAAGGAACAACTGTTAACGTTACAATAAGCTCACAAGGAACAACTGTTAACGTTACAATAAGCTCACAAGGAACAACTGTTAACGTTACAATAAGCTCACAAGGAACAACTGTTAACGTTACAATAAGCTCACAAGGAACAACTGTTAACGTTACAATAAGCTCACAAGGAACAACTGTTAACGTTACAATAAGCTCACAAGGAACAACTGTTAACGTTACAATAAGCTCACAAGGAACAACTGTTAACGTTACAATAAGCTCACAAGGAACAACTGTTAACGTTACAATAAGCTCACAAGGAACAACTGTTAACGTTACAATAAGCTCACAAGGAACAACTGTTAACGTTACAATAAGCTCACAAGGAACAACTGTTAACGTTACAATAAGCTCACAAGGAACAACTGTTAACGTTACAATAAGCTCACAAGGAACAACTGTTAACGTTACAATAAGCTCACAAGGAACAACTGTTAACGTTACAATAAGCTCACAAGGAACAACTGTTAACGTTACAATAAGCTCACAAGGAACAACTGTTAACGTTACAATAAGCTCACAAGGAACAACTGTTAACGTTACAATAAGCTCACAAGGAACAACTGTTAACGTTACAATAAGCTCACAAGGAACAACTGTTAACGTTACAATAAGCTCACAAGGAACAACTGTTAACGTTACAATAAGCTCACAAGGAACAACTGTTAACGTTACAATAAGCTCACAAGGAACAACTGTTAACGTTACAATAAGCTCACAAGGAACAACTGTTAACGTTACAATAAGCTCACAAGGAACAACTGTTAACGTTACAATAAGCTCACAAGGAACAACTGTTAACGTTACAATAAGCTCACAAGGAACAACTGTTAACGTTACAATAAGCTCACAAGAAACAACTGTTAACGTTACAATAAGCTCACAAGGAACAACTGTTAACGTTACAATAAGCTCACAAGGAACAACTGTTAACGTTACAATAAGCTCACAAGGAACAACTGTTAACGTTACAATTAGCTCACAAGGAAATGATTTCTCTTATACTTATACACTTATATATTACACTAATATACTCATACTAATACGTATCCTAAGCTATAGATATTATACTAGTGTAACCCGTGTTATTATACTATATAACTAACAATATAGGCAGCTCGTTACTAACATCACCTCGTTATTAGAAATAGTTAATGTTTGTGATAGCAGAAACAACGGCAAGGTATGACGTAGGAGACCTTCACACTGGTGAGTTTGTAACCTTCACACTGGTGAGTTTGTAACCTTCACACTGCAGGTGAGTTTGTGACCTTCACACTGGTGAGTTTGTAACCTTCACACTGGTGAGTTTGTAACCTTCACACTGGTGAGTTTGTAACCTTCACACTGGTGAGTTTGTTACCTTCACACTGGTGAGTTTGTAACCTTCGCACTAGTGAGTTTGTAACCTTCACACTGGTGAGTTTGTAACCTTCACACTGGTGAGTTTGTAACCTTCACACTGGTGAGTTTGTAACCTTCACACTGGTGAGTTTGTGACCTTCACACTGGTGAGTTTGTAACCTTCACACTGGTGAGTTTGTAACCTTCACACTGGTGAGTTTGTAACCTTCACACTGGTGAGTTTGTAACCTTCACACTATTGAGTTTGTAGCCCTCACACTGGTAAGTTTGTGACCTTCGCACTGGTGAGTTTGTAACCTTCACACTGGTGAGTTTGTAACCTTCACACCATGGTGAGTTTGTAGCTTTCACACCATGGTGAGTTTGTAACCTTCACACTGGTGAGTTTGTAACCTTCACACCATGGTGAGTTTGTAGCTTTCACACCATGGTGAGTTTGTAACCTTCACACTGGTGAGTTTGTAACCCTCACACTGGTGAATTTGTAACCTTCATACTGGTGAGTTTGTAACCTTCACACTGGTGAGTTTGTAACCTTCACACCATGGTGAGTTTGTAGCCTTCACACTGGTGAGTTTGTAACCTTCACACTGGTGAGTTTGTAGCTTTCACACTGGTGAGTTTGTAACCTTCACACTGGTGAGTTTGTAGCTTTCACACTGGTGAGTTTGTAACCTTCACACTGGTGAGTTTGTAACCTTCACACTGGTGAGTTTGTAGCTTTCACACTGGTGAGTTTGTAACCTTCACACTGGTGAGTTTGTAACCTTCACACTGGTGAGTTTGTAACCTTCACACTGGTGAGTTTGTAACCTTCACACTGGTGAGGTTGTAGCCTTCACACTGGTGAGTTTGTAACCTTCACACTGGTGAGTTTGTAGCCTTCACACTGGTGAGTTTGTAACCTTCACACTGGTGAGTTTGTAACCTTCACACTGGTGAGTTTGTAACCTTCACACTGGTGAGTTTGTAACCTTCACACTGGTGAGTTTGTAGCCTTCACACTGGTGAGTTTGTAGCCTTCACACTGGTGAGTTTGTAACCTTCACACTGGTGAGTTTGTAACCTTCACACTGGTGAGTTAGATAGATTTTTAGATTTGAAAAATTTTCAAAACGGTATATAAATCAAGAGGCTTGCATATAATGAACATATTGACACGGGTGCAGAGTTGAGTCTGTACGGAACCTAGTAGTTTCAGATCCTTGTTTAACTTGCCGTACAGCAAGGTCATCCACTACTTTAGCCCGGCGAGGCACATAACTCCCTCTACAACTCCATGACAAATGTTTCATATATACTAGCCGAGTTCACAAGTTATATCCTTGTGTTTGAGAAGAGCTCGTTAGAACTGCTTCCTTTCCCTTCAGTATCCCACAAAATCAACAGGATTATAAAACATAAAAATAAAAACCGCTTTGTCGGCAAATGCCAGGGCCCTAACAATCCACTCAAAAAAATTCAAAACAGGACCCAGAAGCTTGTAAGCCACTGGTAAAAAAAAGGGAAATCTAATTAAACAAAGATTTTGTTCAAAAATCAAATAAAATCAAAATTACGCGACCAAAATTCAAAAACTCTCATAAATGTGAAAATCTTAGTATCAATCAATATCCATGATCAGAATAAATGAGGAAAAACGCGAAAATCACATACATTACTGTATTACAACAGATGTCAAAAATTGTTATTAACAGAGATCCAATGTGTCCATAATAAAATAATAAAGTTCAACTAGCTACCCAATCAAAAGGTAGCCAAGACAGGGTAACTAGAGTAGTAGGCAGTAACTTAGTAGTTTGTGACCTCTACTCTCACAATTAGTTGTTCACAGAAAGGCATCACTAAATCTACCATTACGTCACTAGTTTAAATTCTACAAGTGCGCTGTAATGGAAACCTCATGGGATGTTTACTATCTGCATCCTGACTATCTGTTTTTGTATGATAGTCAGGTGTTTGAAGCCTCCTCACCTGGTGCATTAGCTACTAACATCCTCTCTACTATATACTATACTACCTCTCTTTCTCCCTCCTCTCTCTCAACCTGCCGGGTCCAGTCTGTCACTTTACTTCTACCCACAGCGTAAGCTAACTTTTAAGACAATGAATTTATCGTTTGTGTTCAAACTGGACAGTTTTCCGAGCGGTCAGATAGGGACCAGGTGAGGAGCACGTGACAGGAGTGGTTGGTATGACAACGGAACAGCTGGGGAGCTGGTCAGGTCACGTGAGGATTTGAATTGATTATGGTTGAAAGCACTGTCAGTTCACTTGCTCACATCTCTACTTCGCTCTTTTCTGTTTGTTTCACAATTCTTCTCTCTGTATCAGTACGATACTCACGAGTGTAGCATTTGTAGTTTCTCTTACCGGACACTTGAAGAGTGCACTCTAATATATACTAATCTAAATCAGCCCTAATCTTTATAGGTACATATACATTAACCATGCTGCTTAACATCAAGGATTCAGTCTTGTTCAGGGGTCTCTACTTTGCCTAATATCTCCCTTAGCCCTGCATTACCTCGCACGTGCCACTTTCTCAACTCTCGCTCCCAGCACGGCAAGCAATGCAACACGTCATTCGCCGGGGCAACCATGATAACGGGGAATTACGAGCTTACCCAATAGCAGCTGTACATTTAGCGTTCTGACCAATCAGAGCACAGCATTAAGGATCATGTGCTAAGCCAGCAAGTACTTGTCTGTACTCAATGTGTTGAAGCCATTAGCTGGTGCAGGACGGCTCCCCTCTCTCACTGCCTCTAATCGCATGTTAGCCTATGAGCAGGCGTGCATCTCTGCTCCTTTAATGGCTTGTCCAATGACCGGCTAGAACCAGCCATTCTCCCCCTCTCATTGGACAGCCCATTAGCCTGCTGCTATCTTTAGCTTGGTTATCCGGCTCCTTTACACAGCCAGGTGGGATTAACGAGATAAGCGCTCCCTGCTGCACGTGAGCACTGAGCCGTCGTGCGCTTCTTCCACCAGCCCCAGCGCGCAGCCGCTCTTAGTAGAGGCTCCTGTGGAGGAGGCGCCCTGCTGCAGCCAATAGACAGCGTCGTGGCGTGACGTAGCGGTAGGAGTAACGCAGGGGGTTAGGTTAGGGGGAGCTCAGTTGCTGGTGCTTTGTTTTCTCAACTGATCCAGATTTTGCTGCTCCTCTGGGAACCTGATGACTGATGACTAGCTCTTAGCCTCAAGTAGAATGATGCCTGATGGACTAGCCTAAACTTGTATCCTTTTATAGCAAACAGTAGAGAGACTTGTCATGTCGATTTCGCATACATAGTTTGATTCGCGCACAGCATGACCAAGTGTTTGCCGTTTATTTGAAATGCGATTCTTTTGCGTTATTTTAATAAAATACTAATTCTTTCTGTGCTATCACTAACCGACGGATCATCGTGCCCGCGTTTGACACGGCGTTCGCTCACTTCGCGTCGCGTACAATGTTTAATTTGTTAAATTCAGCCTCACCAAAATGATAAAGTAAAATTGAATATTTAATTATTATGTTGTTAACTTTCCCACTGACGGATTTCAAATTTTCAGAAGACGGAAATAAAAGAAGAAGCTGAAATGTATCCTTTGTTATGTATCCTTTAAAACACAAGTAAAATTACTTCTTGCTTACGTTGCGAAAGAATACAAATTTTTCAGTATTGGATTTAAACGGACGAGCATCATGTACGTCAGTGGCCAGCGCGCGACAAAAGAAATTATATGCAACGTGTAACATGGAAAACCAGCGCGCGACCATGGAGCCATAATTTTTGCTCTGCGCCGTTTAGTATTTATTACTATTAGATTACTTTTTACTTTTGTTTCTAAGATCCTCGTTCTTCCAGTCTGTTATCCAATGGTTCTGACCTCGCCTCATGTACCTAGTAACCTAGTAACCTAGTAACCTAGTAACCTAGTAACCTAGTAACCTAGTAACCTAGTAACCTAGTAACCTAGTCACCTAGTAACCTAGTAACCTAGTAACCTAGTAACCTAGTAACCTAGTAACCTAGTAACCTAGTAACCTAGTAACCTAGTAACCTAGTAACCTAGTAACCTAGTAACCTAGTAACCTAGTAACTTAGTAACCTAGTAACCTAGTAACCTAGTAACCTAGTAACCTAGTAACGTAGTAATTTGTATAGTGCAACAAATTATTTTTTCAAACCATGTACTTTGCTTATATATTTTTGATTTGGATACTCAAAATTTCGCCCATCAGACTTGAACGGATTTGAGAATCTCTCTGGAACAACTTCCCAAATCATGAATGACAACAACGGTATATTAAAAGATATGAATTTGGAAAACGCAGTAAATAGTGATGGGCCGTTCACTTTCCGATGGGCTTCTGACGGATCGCCTGCAGAAAGGCAAGGCATCTACAAAGTTATTCTTTATGCCAAAACGGCGGATGCCAGCATTGCCGGGTGGAAGGTAATGACAATAAGAAATCGTTCTAATTTTCTAAGAGACATAAGGATGCCTAATATATTAGTTTTGGGAAGAAATTGATCAAAAACTGCATAATACTTGACCTAAAGAAGCTATAAAGTTTACATTTCAGGTGTACGTAGAAGACACAAGTGCCCAAAAATCAGATGCCCAGTTCAATAACCTAGACGAACAGGTCCCATGTACAGCTGGCGACCCTTTAAGTGAGGGTAAGGATACCAAAGAGTTCATCTGCCAGGAAAGACTTGCCGCTACACAAGTCATCATTAAGGGATCTAGTGTCGTTGCGGAACTCGCTGAAGTTGTTGTAGTCGGGAAAACTTGGGGTTAGTTGTGTTAACTTAGTTTTTTCTTATTTTGCGTTATATTTTATATTTTTTATAGTTATTTCATGTAATGGCTTCTTTTAAATTATCTTCTTTTTGATATCACGACCATTTGTGGTGTTAACAGAGAAATTAATTTCAGCAACTTATCCGTGTGGGTTAGGATATTACAACACAGACAGCGGCACTCACAGTGACACTGCTTTATACGGCTGTAAAGTCTGTGAAGATGGTTAGTACACTACCTTACTCTGTACCTACTGTACTAAGTACAGTTCACATGACTCTTTCTTCACAAATTGTTACTGTTAGCTCTATAAAACATTTATTAATTCACTCCAACGATATATGTAAATATTACTACTATCAAGTTTCTGTTATTCAAAATTATTCTGTTTTCGTTATGATCGAAAGTCCAGTTTCATGATCATCAAAACATCTCAGGTTCACACGACGCCCGCACAGACTTCGCTTCAGACCCAGAACTAGCTAAAGCTTGCACCCAGTGTGACAACTCAGTAAAGAAGATCTTCTACACTAAGACACTAGACCACAAGAAGCTGAACAAGTGTCAGTCGTGTGCTGCTCCAACAGTTGTCCTCGCTGACAAAGGAACTTGTGTCAAGTGTCCGGCTGTGAGTACTTTCAGTTTAATCTCAAATAATACTTTATTTAGTTCTGTAGATCTTTCTTAATTTGGGAACTTTCTGATAATGACAATTAATACAAGGAGGAAGTGAGGGTTTCTCAGTATAAGAATATTTTCAGCTCTTTTCACTTACTGTACATTGTACATTACTGTACATTGTACATTACTATACTGTACATTGAAACCTGTTATTTCTTTCAGGGACAAGAATATTATGCAGAAGGTGCTGATGCGGACTGCAACTATCCTGCTAACCCTGAACGAGCGTCTGCCACTGCTGTCGCTGTAACTGATCCCTCAACATGCACCAAAGTCGAATGTAAAGCTTGCCCGGACGGAACCCGTAACCCAGCAGAGAGTTCGGACTACTGTTACAGCTGCACTCATATGAAGGAGTACACCACGGACAAAATAGAATGTCTGACGTGTGATGTGGTAAGTGGAATGTAGTCATCATAATATCTCAAACTGTAATTTTGTTATTTCGACTGTAAAATAATAAATTGTTATTGTGTTTGGCCTTGCTAATATGCTCAATACCAGGGCAAGATACGAGATAGTACTGGCAATACTTGTGAAGACTGCCCTGCTGGTAAAAAACGAGGGATATCTGACAACAACTGTGTTCCATGTGATTCTGGATGGATGTCTGCTGCTGGAGCGTCTGTTTGCACAGAGTGTCCCGTGGTTAGTTTTATAGAATTATTGTTGATCATTTATTTTCTTACCACTTACAAACTTTATTTATCTGCACTTGTTACAGGTAATGTGTCAGTGTAACTAACTTGTACCTGTTACAGGTAATGTGTCAGTGTAACTAACTTGTACCTGTTAAAGGTGATGTGTCAGTGTAACTAACTTGTACCTGTTACAGGTAATGTGTCAGTGTAACTAACTTGTACCTGTTACAGGTAATGTGTCAGTGTTACTAACTTGTACCTGTTACAGGTAATGTGTCAGTGTAACTAACTTGTACCTGTTACAGGTAATGTGTCAGTGTAACTAACTTGTACCTGTTACAGGTAATATGTCAGTGTAACTAACTTGTACCTGTTACAGGTAATGTGTCAGTGTTACTAACTTGTACCTGTTACAGGTAATGTGTCAGTGTAACTAACTTGTACCTGTTACAGGTAATGTGTCAGTGTAACTAACTTGTACCTGTTACAGGTAATATGTCAGTGTAACTAACTTGTACCTGTTACAGGTAATGTGTCAGTGTAACTAACTTGTACCTGTTACAGGTAATGTGTCAGTGTAACTAACTTGTACCTGTTACAGGTAATTTGTCAGTGTAACTAACTTGTACTTGTTACAGGTAATGTGTCAGTGTAACTAACTTGTACTTGTTACATGTAATTTGTCAGTGTAACTAACTTGTACCTGTTACAGGTAATGTGTCAGTGTAACTAACTTGTACCTGTTACAGGGTCAGTACGAAGATAGTAAGACAAGTTGTGAGAAGTGTCCTGTAGGGAAGTACAATGATCAGACAGGACAGTCAGGAGAAAGCAGCTGTGAAGTCTGTGCTGAAGGTTATGTTGCTGCTAGTGAGGGGTCTGAGACCTGCACTCAGTGTCAACAGGTTAGTTACAGTCAAAACACTAGCTTATAAAGTGTGTGAAGTAGTTATAGTCAGCTTCTTCTCTCTACATCTTTATGTTGAATTATTGAATTCCCAGGTTAGGTTGCTAACCTGGAAACAGCTAATGTTATTTGCTGTTGTTAGCCTCTATCTACTCTCAATAATTGACTACTACTTCATATTCACAGGGAACTTACGAAGATGGGAAAGATAAAGCCTGTAAGAATTGTGCGGCAGGTTACTATCAAGCGGCTGCTGGACTGCAATCATGTGAATCTTGTGGAGATGGAGAAATCTCTGCTGAAGGAGCAACGACGTGTACGCAGTGTGATAAGGTAGTTTCACATGCTATTGTTAATACGACACATGCTATTGTTAATACGACACATGCTATTGTTAAAACGACACAGGCACTATTGTTAATACGACATTAATTTAAAATAGATGAATATCTAAAGCACAGCTTGCTCGAAAGTTGCTGTTAGATCTTTCAGTTTAGTATTCAATATCAGATAGTGACGTTATTTTGATATCTACTTTTTCCATTTAGGGAGAAGAACCGAACTCTGATAACACTGCTTGTGTTCCTTGTGCAGCTGGGAAATATCAGCCTGAACAAAGAAAAGAAACTTGTCTTCTCTGCGGAGTAGGAACTATCACTGCAACTACGGGAAGGGACACGTGTGACCCTTGTGAACAAGTGAGTTACGTTAATATGCTAATTACAGACTAAAACACACGTATTATATTCAGTTAAAGGTAACTTCTATTATAGTGGAAGCAAATCAGTCGACAAGAGTTATTGACAGGAAATAACAAATTATCTAAAACATCTTTTCAGGGTCAGGAAGCTGACGTTGCGAGAACTGCCTGTGTTGATTGCGGGGCGGGGAAATTCCAGAGTAGTGCTGATGGTGGGGCTTGTCAGGATTGTGAAGCTGGAACTTACAGTGCAGTTAAAAGTTCAGAGTGCACTGAATGCAGCCCTGTAAGTGTAAAGGGAGGAGTTTACTTGCGAGTTGTGTTAGTTTGTGGTTTCCAGTATAAAAGACATCCAAGAAATTAAAAGAAATTGATCGTCTGTGACATATTTGTTAATTTAATATTTATTCATACATTTACAGGGATACTACCAAGAAAATCCAGGGCAGGGTTCCTGCGTTGAATGTCCAAGCGGAAAGTTTTCCGGTGCTGAAGGAGCGACCGAATGTTCTGAATGTGTAGCTGGTCATGTGACTATAACAGAGGGCTTGTCCGTATGTACGGAGTGTCCAGTGGTAAGGACAATATCTTCTTTATATTCACTAGATTAACACGCACTGAGTTAGATAATTTGTGCTACGAATTGGTATTTATGCTTTTAAGTGTTATTGTTACCATCCCATCCAGGGTTACCAGGGTTACCAGGATTACCAGGGTTACCAGGGTTACCAGGGCGATCTCATGATTTTGTGTGAATTTGCCGTTTTTCTTAATTGCACGTATTACTGAAATGTACCTGTTACAGGGTCAGTACGAAGATAGTAAGACAAGTTGTGAGAAGTGTCCTGCAGGGAAGTACAATGATCAGACAGGACAGTCAGGAGAAAGCAGCTGTAAAGTCTGTGCTCCTGGTTATGTTGCTGCTAGTGAGGGGTCTGAGACCTGCACTCAGTGTCAACAGGTTAGTTACAGTCAAAACACTAGCATGTAAAGTGTGTGAAGTAGGTTCTCCTCTCTAAATCGCTAGCCTGTAAAGTGTGTGAAGTAGGTAAACTTCTCTAAATCGCTATGCTAATTTCTGAATTATAGGTTCCAACTGTTCACACTCCACATCTTATCTAGGAATAATCATAAACTAACTGCACTCCTCATATTCAGGGAACATACGCAGCAGACAAAACACAAGCCTGTAAAGTGTGTGAAATAGGTAAAGTTCAGGCTTATAGCGGAGCAGTGTCCTGTGATGTGTGTCCGGCTGGTGAGGTTCCTAACAAGGGAAAGCTAAAGACAGAGTGTGTGAAATGTAATGCGGTAAGTTTCCTTTTGTTTCTGTACTTTAAGTTGGCATTTGTTTCTGTACTTTAGTTGGCTGTCTTTGAATTTTAGTTGTCTTGTCTTTTTTGATGAAAATCTTTCTAAATCATGAATAGGATGTTGTCACATTGAAACGTTGAATAATTAAGTTGGTTTCTCAGTGATGGAGGACTTTCATATATTATTGAAACCTATTATTTCTTTCAGGGACAAGAATATTATGCAGAAGGTGCTGATGCGGACTGCAACTATCCTGCTAACCCTGAACGAGCGTCTGCCACTGCTGTCGCTGTAATTGATCCCTCAAAATGCACCAAAGTCGAATGTAAAGCTTGCCCGGTCGGAACCCGTAACCCAGCAGAGAGTTCGAACTACTGTTACAGCTGCACTCATATGAAGGAGTACACCACGGACAATAGAGAATGTCTGACGTGTGATGTGGTAAGTGGAATGTAGTCATCATAATATCTCAAACTGTAATTATCTTATTTCAACTGTAAAATAATAAACTGTTCTTGTGTTTGGCTTTGCTAATAAGCTCAATATCAGGGCAAGATACGAGATAGCACTGGCAATACTTGTGAAGACTGCCCTGCTGGTGAAAAACGAGGGATATCTGACAACGACTGTATTCCATGTGATTCTGGATGGATGTCTGCTGCTGGAGCGTCTGTTTGCACAGAGTGCCCCGTGGTTAGTTTTATAGTTTATTTTTTTTGATATCCATTCTAGTTACGACCGTTATATCTCAGTCTTAATGTTTAAAGTAGTTTTAGTTAGATCAGATTATAATGAGAGGTTCAAATATATGCCCGCTTCTGCGTTTTTTAATGTTCAACACTTTCCACAGGGAACAAAGTCAAACACAGCTTTAACAGACTGTGACCTGTGTGTTCGTGGCAAGTATCAAGACAAAGCCGGACAGAACACTTGTGAAGTCTGTGAAGATGGTTATGTGACCACGGAAGATGGTTCGCCTCAGTGTGTGGCTTGTCCTCAGGTCAGCAACATAACGTTCTCTTGACTTTTTTTAGTTAAGAAGATTGACATGATCTAAGAGATTATTGTGTTATCAAGCAGATTTATCTTCCTTTCCGTAAATTTGCTCACTATGGTCAAACTAACAACAACTATATCCACAGGGAACAAAGTCAAATGCTGGCTTAACTGACTGTGATCCTTGTGCTACTGGAACATATCAAGACGAGATAGGGAAAACTGAATGCAAACAGTGTCGGGAAAATATGTTTACTGATAAAGGTACCGTTTAGTAGTTTTATAAAATTTCCTAATTTTTACGACGAAAATAGCCATTTATTAAACTAATTAAACGATTTTGATTACAAAAGTAGCCATTAATTGTCCTGGTAATTTGAAGTGAAAACGTCTGATAACACCAAATGTGACGATATAATCACTACTTAGGTGTCTACTGTCTATTATACGTATAATGCCCATCTAAATCATTTCTTGTCTGACAAAATAACATGTTTCAGTTGGACAGGTCGTGTGTTTGAACTGTCCGGATAAAACGTACGCTGGAAAGGATGCAGCGAAGTGCGAACCATGTCCTCCGGGATCTCCAGCAGCTGTTAGAGCTAGGATGGAGAATGATGGAATTGAGGAGATTTTAATCGAGAAATGCATAAGTAAGCCAACAACTCAATATCTAACGTTTCACTTTTAAAGTGCATTATTAATATATATATTATAATGAAGACAAAAGAAACAATGATATTCAGCATTTGTATTATCTAACTTTTAGGTGATCTGGGAGAAGGCTGTGCCTCTGAAACAGAGTTCCAAACACAGTACGGAACATTCAGCCACGACTGGCTGGAGCTCGACAGCAGCTCAGAACCTCAGAAATGTGAGTTTGACGAGTTCACCGCGGTTTTCACCTGCAAGATGGACAGTGCTAAGAAAACGTATGTGGAGAAGACTTACTACTGTCAGAAGACTGCGAACACCATAGCCATAGAAAGTCTAGTCGACGATCAGGTTATTTCAGTAATTTATTAGAACTCAGTTTAACAGGTTAAAAAGCATGGTTTCTCAAATAAAGTAATCTCATGCAACTAGCTCAAAACGTACTTAATTTCCGATTGCCGATGTTATGTAACGACCTTCTCCTCAGAATGTCTCGAATGAAGATAAGACGGCACAGATGGAGAAGATGACAAATAATACGGTCATGAACGGTATCGGTGACGTAAAGGCCGTCTCTGACGTTCTAGAATCCATCGTCAAAAGCGACGAGGGAGAAAAAGAAGGCGGGAATATCTCAGAGGCAGTGACCCAGAGCGTCCTGAACACCGTGTCTAACCTTGTGAAGTCTGATTTTAAGACAGCAGATGACGACACTGAAACCCAGTCCGCCAGCAGTATCACTGATGGGTGAGTTACAAGCCAAAAACCATATGCCCATTTTTGGGCATATGCACCAAATTTGATGGGTACATTGTTTTCATTTCTTTTGTTTTTGTGCGAATTGTACTTTACTTCAAGTGCTGTCGAAATTCATACATGATTTGTACACAAAGACATGAGCTAACTTATTACTACCTTATGGGACGTTATTTGACCGGACATTTTGTAAACGGACATAATTTTGAACGGACATTAAAATGAACGCTCAAAGGCATTCATTTAATATATTTAATTTAGCTACCTTGTCGGAATTTATTTGAACGGACATTAAAATGAACGCTAGGGCCTCCAGCGTCCAATTAATGTCCGTTCAAATAAAGTCCGATAAGGAACTGATACCTGGGAGGTAAGGTATATTTAATAGAGCAAGGGTCTACAGTGCTTATATTAGATCGTAACTCACATCTCCTCCCAGTTTGGTGACGCAGATTGTAAACGTTGCTAAGCAAACTGTTGTCAAGAACAAGATAATCAAGTCTCCTCGCATAGCCGTGATCGATCTTAAGAAAGGTGGTGGTGAGAGTAATCCAAGCAATAATGGTGTTGTCACCTTCACCCTTCCTAAAGCAAACCGAGATGGTAAGGATCTTCAAGGCTGCGAATTAGGATCTGGATCAAGCGATAACAAAGAGGAGAAGGAAAACACAATTCTATTGGTCAGTATATTATTAGTACTCAACTTTACTTTGCTACTAAAGTAAATAGTTCTAATTGTTCAATGTTTTCCGCGATACAATTTGTACACAGTAGCTATCTCACTAAGTAAATGATATGCATTTATCATCATATTATTACAATATTTAACTATGAAATTAATTCAGATTGAGACAAAGTCGGGAGAAACGAACGAGGATGTGGACATGGCTGTGGTCCTGATCACAGACTCGACACTCATGCCGGACACCACCATATCCTTGGTGACGAAGGAGGAGGGCGAGGAGGACGAGGAAACCGTCACTAAAATCCTGGATGATCTGAAGAGTGAGCTAGAGGACGCAGCCAACAAAGACGGTGGAGACGCCAAAAAAAGCTTCGTCAACTCGTTTATCACGGAGGTCAAAGTTGAAAACGCACCCGATAACTTTAAGCTAAACCTCTTCATGAAGCCCACCATCGATATAGTGAGTTATTTGTATGATTACTATACTTAATTTGTATTACACTGTAGCAAATAAGCTTCTGGATGATGTGGTAATTTACCTTTTTTAGGGTAATGGCACTGGCCTAAGAATTGTAAACAAGTATACACCTTATCATCATTAAGTTTAACGTAAATAATTCCTTTGTACGTATATTTTCTAACCCTCCACAACTTTTAGGGCAACACGAACTCCAGCCTCAACACGGAGCCAGACGGCAAGAGAATGCAAGTTTCGTACATCTGCGCAAAATACGACCCTGTCAAAGCGAAGTGGGAGGAGGGTTGCGAGACTATCTACAACTCTGCTAAGCCGTCAGATGGAGTGCTTTGTTTGTGCTCTCACAACACCAGCTTTGCTGTCCTCATGGTAAGAATTAAATAACCACTTCTCTGTGGAACATATTTGATAACCATCATGACACATAATACGTTTTATGCGGTGTAATACTTTATTACTCGCTTCAAACTCATTTAACTAATAATTGTATATACCCGTTTCAAACACTCATTCGCCAAATGTTTCCAGTCAGCTTACGAGATTGACCGTGGGTTTGCTGAAGTACAAAGCTACCTAACGTATGTTCTTCTCGGAATTTCAACCGTCGGTCTCATCTTGACTCTGGTGTTCTTGCTTCCTGCTAAAGCCCTTCGCTCAACTCGGTCCGCTAAGATCAACATCTGCTTCACTGGCGCCCTGCTGTTAGCCTCATTGATGTTCCTCATCCAGGACGCATTCATTTCTGCTGATGATACCGGACTCATTAAACTGGTAAGTTAGAGTTACTTTTAGAGGTTAAATAGTTAAATAGTTAAATGATAAACTATTGTCAGATAATATAGGATTCCAGCTGCTTACCATTGATGATCCTTTTTAATCAAATTATCAAACCTTTTTGAATACTGACCAGACCGACTAACCAACCACCACCCGTTTCAGAAGTCGACGGGATGTGCCGTGTACGCGATGATCCAGCACTACTTATGGCTTGTGGTCTTTGCCTGGATGGTAGTCGAAGGGTTCCTTATGTACCTCTCTCTCGTACAAGTGTTCGGGTCTCATATCTCAAAGTATATGCTAAAGTTTAACCTCGCAGCATGGGGTATGTACCTTAACACTCTTCTTCATAATCTTAGTTATTCAATTGTTTTTTTCAACGTTTTCAGATGTCAATATTTCAATTAGAAGATTATATATTCTTATCATCCAAATAACCTTACCATATTCTAGGTATCCCTCTACCGATACCATTCATCGGATATTTCGTCTTCACGAAGCAGCACACTGTGGGTAGCTTCACCTTCACTGAACATGGGTACCTTGCGGACACCATGTGCTTTATCCGACCTGAAAGTATCTCCTTCTACGCCCTCTTCTTAGCCCCCATTGTCTTGGTTATCTTGGTGAACCTTGTATTCTTCGCACTCGTTGCCAAAGTGATCAAGAACTCAAAATCCTCCGGCAACATCTCTGATCAAGAACAAATTTTGGTGAGTCCTAAGGTTGTTAATATTTTGCGTCTTTCAACTTTGTCGAAGAATCTTTTATCATATTCTTTTGATTCGTTTGATAATATGTACGATAATCATAACAAGTGCTTAATTTAAATGTCGTAAACATTCTAACCAACTTATATTTCAGCGGCAGCTCAAAGCAGCAGTCGGGGTGATGGTCTTGCTCGGAACAGGCTGGTTCTTCGGTATATTCATGTCCATCCCAGCCCCTCAGTTCCAAGTGGGGATGCAATATCTCTTCATTCTTCTCAATAGCTCACAGGTCCGTCTTTTCTACAGCTTCCTCTATTTCGTATGCATTTAACAAGTCTATCAGCCTTATGAAAATCAAGCTAGCCCACAAAGTAAAAAACGCTTTACATACTGATCTGTTTAATACTAATAAAATTAACCCTCCAATCTCTCAGGGAATATTCGTGTTCCTGTTCTATATAGTGCTAAACGACCAGGTAAAGTCTCACTGGCTAGTTAAGGTTGGACTCCAAGAAGAGAAGAGGACCACGACATCATCCTCCGCCGCCGCCGCCGGCAAATCAGCAGCCACTAAGGCAACGACGGTCAGCGCCAGCGCCGCCCCAAACCAAACTGACAACATTTATGAGAACGCCGCCGCTTCCAACGAGGATCACACGTACGCAAGTGCAGAGTACGCAACGGCCAGCGACAAAACAGGCAAGCATGAGTTTCCGGCTAAGTCAGACAATAATGCGAACATTTGATTTATATTTGTGGGAATAAATTTTGTATACAAAAACTGGCTCTACCTGCCAACTAATCGTTTTGTAGAGTAGTTTTTAGAGTTGATTAGTTGTTTGCGAAATTCTCAATATTTTTGTTAATTGCAGACTTTGTTAGTTGTTTTTAATCTTATTTTTATTTAATTTCTATTTATGTAAATACTGAGGATCCGTCACAGTAAGTGCGTTTTAAATACTTTTCGACGAATTTTTCATCGTCAGTTTTATCAGACAAATCACAATTAACTTTATTTAAAACCTTGTTGAGATACTGTGACTGCTATATATCTTTAAGTTTGACATTGTGATTAATAATTTTATATTAATAACCGGTTACCGGAACAACCAATTAAACTGTATTATTAATTGTACTCACACAATAATTTGACACAATTCACTGAATAAAGAAACAAAAAAATTCCACTGTTAATGTTAATTGACTCAAAACAAGTTGGATAAAATCAATCCAAAAAACAAAAAATCAGTGAACTTAAACAAACTTCCCAAAAACCATATTATCATCTCCACTCTACATATTCACTCTACCTCTCCACTTTACATCTCCACTCTACATCACCACTCTACATCTCCACTCTACATCTCCACTCTACATCTCCACTCTACATCTCCACTCTACATCTCCACTCTACATCTCCACTCTACATCTCCACTCTACATCTTCACTCTACATCTCCACTCTCCACTCCACTCTCCACTCTACCTCTCTACATCTCCAGTCTCCACTCTACATCTCCACTCTACATCTCCACTCTACATCTCCACTCTACATCTCCACTCTCCACTATCCACTCTCCACTCTCCACTCTCCACTCTCCACTCTCCACTCTCCACTCTCCACTCTCCACTCTCCACTCTCCACTCTCCACTCTCCACTCTCCACTCTCCACTCTCCACTCTCCACTCTCCACTCTCCACTCTCCACTCTCCACTCTCCACTCTCCACTCTCCACTCTCCACTCTCCACTCTCCACTCTCCACTCTCCACTCTCCACTCTCCACTCTCCACTCTCCACCCTCCACTCTCCACCCTCCACCCTCCACTCTCCACTCTCCACTCTCCACTCTCCACTCTCCACTCTCCACTCTCCACTCTCCACTCTCCACTCTCCACTCTCCACTCTCCACTCTCCACTCTCCACTCTCCACTCTCCACTCTCCACTCTCCACTCTCCACTCTCCACTCTCCACTCTCCACTCTCCACTCTCCACTCTCCACTCTCCACTCTCCACTCTCCACTCTCCACTCTCCACTCTCCACTCTCCACTCTCCACTCTCCACTCTCCACTCTCCACTCTCCACTCTCCACTCTCCACTCTCCACTCTCCACTCTCCACTCTCCACTCTCCACTCTCCACTCTCCACTCTCCACTCTCCACTCTCCACTCTCCACTCTCCACTCTCCACTCTCCACTCTCCACTCTCCACTCTCCACTCTCCACTCTCCACTCTCCACTCTCCACTCTCCACTCTCCACTCTCCACTCTCCACTCTCCACTCTCCACTCTCCACTCTCCACTCTCCACTCTACATCTCCACTCTACATCTCCACTCCACTCTCCACTCTACATCTCCACTTTACATCTCCAATCTACATCTCCACTCTAAATCTCCACTCCACATCTCCATTCCACCTCTCCCCAGTCCCTATTCCACCGACTAGGAACTGACCTAGGGCCTGTCGTGATATCATGGATCGCTTAGGTTCCACCAAGATATGGTAGTCCTCATAATTTTGCGGCCTCTATGTATCGTCATCTCGCACAACTTCTTAAGAATCTTAAGTGCTGGGCATGTGAAAATTTGCAGCCCTCCAGACATTGATTGGGTTAAGTTGATTGTATGCCCTTCTTAATTTCTAAGATGATCTATGCGAAATAAGTCAACAATTGTAAGCCTAATGTTAATCAATTTTACTGTTAATATTTTTTGTTACCTTTTAAACAATAATTTTAGATAATGTGCACAAATTACATTTGTTTAATTTGTTCTAAAAGTGAGTATAGGGTGTTGACTGACGATGTAGCTCTGCTTAGATCCTAGCTAGACCCTCAGACACAGCAGCAAGGGTCTTGACTGTCGATGTAGCTCTGCTTCAGTGGCCCTGCTGACCCCGCCATCACTCGATGTAGCCCACAAGTCGCCTCTGCTCTGCTTACTTTCGAAATCTCCCGAAGAGTTACAAAGTTAGCTTCAAATACGTCAGCCTTCACGACCAGTCTCTCTACAATGTTTTTTACATTTAGACTGATCAGAAGTCGTTCAGCATGTTTATCTTTGGTTCAAAATATTTTAATTCTATGTTAAGGATGACAGAAATAATTTATTGCTATGGGGAGAGTATTACGAAATTTGTAATGTAATATATATATATATACGGGTAAACCGCCCCTAAAATGTCACCCACCCCTAAAACGCCACTCTTGATTGATTGGATCCCATCTTCTTAGAAAGTATCTTACCTAATCATTTGTAACTCCTAAACATAAAAAAATATCATTCAGACCCTGCCACATCCTGAAATTGAATCTAAATGATGCCATAAGGGCATTTTTTTCACTTTGTACGAATTTTTTACTTTTGAAAAAAAGCGCACAATTTTATAACTCTGGAATTCATTAATATTAACTCGGTTTTGGTCTAGGATAGTGATATTTACATATTTTAGCAACTTTGTACATATGACTGGAGATATGGAAAGTTATACATTACTCAATATTACTACCCTCCCCTAAAATGTCACCTGGCCGCCCCCTAAAATGTCATTTTATCAGATTCTGGCTTTGAGACTACAAGCATCATAAAATGGAGGTACCAGCCTATTAAACATCATATTTAGCATCTAATGGTAATATTAGAAAGCTTTGGCAGCTCAAGGAATTAGTTTTATTTTATTAATTGCAATAAACATCCCCTAAAATGTCTAATTATCCCCCCTAAAATGTCATTTTAACCTGATCAAATTACTCAGGCTTTTCCTAAGATGCAATGCATACTCACATTTCGTTAATAGTTGATGTTAATAATTAACAAGTGCCAAAACAAGAGCTATTATCGCACACCATGCGAACAAAATACAAATTTGACATTTTAGGGGAGAAAAAAATGACATTTTAGGGGGCATATCATAGGTTTACCATAAACTAGTAAGTACCAAAAACCGTAGTTTTTGACATTCAATTTTGCTAAAAGCAGTCAAATCTAGTCTATAGAGAAGGTCAGATCGATTACTGGGTTGGATTAGTTAACTACAGGTCACTAAAATTGCCAAAATGCAGGATGATGTTAAAAATCCCAAAAAATGCAATTAAAACATGCAATTTGCACAAGGTTAAAATCATATTGAATCCATTTCTTTTGTGCCAATTGTTAGTTTATAACTAGATAATCTAACTACAGGTGTAAATTTTGTTGACTGAGTTACTGTTTTGCCGTAAGTTCTGGGTATTCAAAAAAAAGTCCCCAAAATGTCACAAAAAGTAAATTGACTAAATTCCACCATTTTTTTTCAACAGAGAGAGAAATTCTGGTCGACACCTCTCAGAAATAGGTTATATTTGTCCCAGAAGTGGTTAAAATTAATAATTGAGCAACATTCTGAGTGCTACACAACCTGTTTTAGCTGACGTTTTAGGGGTGGTGCACGTGACATTTTAGGGGGTGATTACGGTTTTGAGGTACTTCCTTTAGTGAGCGAATGTTTTCAAGTAGCTTAATGTTTTAATAAGACAAAACAAATAGTACTAGTGACAAAAGATAAATCAGGCCTCCTGTACATTTTGTAATTATCACACATATAGAGTTGACATTTTAGGGGTGGTGTTTTAAAAGTGACCCCATTTCAACGTCAAAAAAATTGTACCTGATTTTATTTTCAAATTTCCAAATCTTCCTGGCAGGCTAGAAAAAGGTTTAAATATTATTCCTAGACACTTCAGAACCCTGTAAATTTAGCCCTAACTCGGCAATCTGGGCCCAAAAAACAGGTGACGTTTTAGGGGCGGTTTACCCGTATCGTTATATAAATATAATGGTACCTAATTAATGCATCTATAAATGAATTTAAGGAACCTGTCAGTATAAGCCTTGGAGCGAGTTTTTATTTCTGTTTGACAAGCGATCTTGTTGTCTGCGATCCTGACCTTAGCTTAATTACAAAGTTGTATGACGTTACAAACCTTTACATATAGTGTATGTACTAAGAGCGTCAACTTGCGGGTGAACATTTTGTGTCTCAAAACCCAACATATTATACATCATTGGAAAGGTCTCATTGAGTAGAGTCATATGGTAACAAGTTTTGGGGAAATGGCTGCTCCTAGCGGAAGTTATAACCCGTCAAAGTCCCAAAAATGATCAATTTAGAAAATGGGGCGGGACATCGTGTTCTTAAATTTTTTTTACGACATTTTTTTACAGAATATTGTTAATCACATTTTTTTACACAAGATTTGCTGTATGCCGTAATTTTATTTTCCGATATTTGAATCAAAAATAATTTTTATTTGGATTTCAAAGTACGCGCTACGCCGCGCAGTTAGAAATCGCAATAAGGAGATTTAACCAAATTTTTTGTTGCGCCATTTTTATTCTCATATCAAATATGCGCTGATACTTTTCGGTCGAATTTCTTTTTGTTGCCGCTCATAGCAATTAGCATAGAGCCTCAATGCACACACCGTATATTTAGTTTGATAGTAGTTGTTTTGTTGCACATTGTAATGCAGATGTTACTAAATGATCTTGAGAGGGTATTTAATATAACTGAGTTAGTGTTACTGCGTTTTGGCTGCGATGTGCTGAAGACTACTAGAAACTTGTTCTAGTATAGAATAGCTTAGTGGATCAGGATGTTGCTAAATTATATCCCTTGTTACACTCGTTTAGTTCTGGACAGGATTTGAACGTTTTACACTTTTATCAGATCATTTCAATCATGCTTCATACCGAAATTACAATTAACCCATTCAAGCCTTGTATAAACAATAACGGACAGTATTATGTGTTAGAAAAAATATATTATGTACTTCCAATCGAATCGTGCAATTGCCTTGGTACACAGGTGCACATTCTTTGATGCCCGAAACGCATTCCAAGCTTTAGATATCTGCCTTCAATAATGGCCTATAATCACATTTGCCAAAAAACAGCTGCTTTGTAATGCTGGTGTGTCCCACTTAGTTTGATTATCTTAGTTAAGCTGTAATATCGAATTCGAAGACCTGTTTCGTTATTATTTCTTGAAATGCAGGTATTTGAAGGTTTTGAAGCAATTTTTTTCAATTAATCTATTTTCCTGGTGTAGAAACAGACCTAACTTGATGTATATTGTTTA